GGCAGTCAGGACACCAGGGTTGTCACATTTTGAATGTATCAACCCTGCAAGTGGGGCTACCCCTGCACTACAGGTGCTTGTTTTCTGTGTTTTTTTTTAACTTTAATGCATTTTTTATTTTAATATTACATCATTTTATATATTAATAATAGTTTCGGTGCAAACATAAAAAAGTTAAAATCACCCAAACCTCACAGCTGGCTGGCTTTACAGCACTCCCTCCAGCCTGACTCCTCCCCCGCTCAACAGTGTATTGGTGTATTTCATGTGATCACTCACTGGACTTTAGACCGATGGAGTAAAGAGGGAGACAGGCTGGAAGAACCGGGTGAGTATCAAAGGCATTGGAGAAGTGCAGGACTAGGAACTGAGACCTGGGCCACATATCCCTTGTGCCTCCAACTTATACTTTTAAAAACAGGAACACAGCAATCTACAGAAACAAAAATAAGGGTTGTCTGACTTCAACATGAACCTGTGTTTTGCCTGTGAAGGGAAGCAAAGGTTTAATTACAGCGCATCTAAACCAAAGAATAAGAAAGTAATATATTGCAGACTACTGGTCCATAGATGTAGTGGCTGAATTCGTTTTCTTTTTAGGATATATATTCTCACTCTAGAACAGGAAGTGGGTTAGGACTACAAAACACTTCCCCTTCTTCTTATCTTCATAACATAGAGGGAGTTTTTCTGAAGTCCACAGAGATGACTTAGCCAAGGCTGTTAACAATGTTTAAAGCAGAACACCAGCCAAAAAAAAACAAGATGAAAATGAATAGCCAGGTAAAAGTTAAAAATAACAAAACCAGTTTTTGCTGCAACATTCAGCTTTAATTCAGAGATTTCCTCTACTCTACTTTTTTCTGCTGCTAGATGTTCTCAGTCTCATAGCCAGCATCATTCATCCTACTTCCTTAGAGGCCAGGTCATCCTAGACTAGTCTGTTACTTGGCAGTGGAAGGAGAAGCAGCACAGCAATTATCTTCCCTCTCCTCTTACCAGCATGCTTCTTGGCAGCACATTAATTAATTATACTGAGATACTTTCAGGTACGGGGGAATATTTTGATTCCTTCCGGTTCTACCATGAGATATGGTTAGGTGCTTCAGAAAAAAGCCCCTGTGCTGTCACATGGGGGCTGGGATTGAGACTTTAGCCCTGTGTAACCTCTGAATACATTGACTGGAAACTTATAGAAGGTTCCTTCTTTATACTGCATCAGGCAAATGCATCAGGGAGGGAGCGATGATAAGGTGAGTAAAAGCATTTAGGCGGACCTCTTGTTTCACCCAACACTATTAACTAAGTGGGTAACTCAAAACGTATCTAGACCCCAAAACAAAGATTTTAAACTTTGCAGCCTACCAGTCCTACTATGTGGTGACTGCATTAGGCTTTCTCTTTTTAGGTTTTTCTCCTTTATTTTCATCTGGTGATCCTGCCAGTTATACAATATCTGCCTTTGGGTGACAATGTTCTATTGCCATACTGTATCTATGTCACCCTAGGTTGCTTGCTTGCTTTGGACTACAAAAACCTCCACCCCTCCATATCTTCATCACAGAGTGGTGCAGGGCCAGAATGTATTTATTACAGGTATTTATAGCGCCGACAATTTACACAGCACTTTACATAGTTGCACATTCACTACTCTCAATGAGCTTACAATCTAAGGTCCCTATCTCACATGCATACATAGAGGGCCAACTTAGAGAGGAGCCAATTAACCTTCCAGCATGTCTTTGGAGTGTGGGAGGAAACACATGCAAGCACAGGGAGAACATGCAAATTCCTTGCAGATAGTGACCTGGCCGGGAATCGAACCAGGGACTGCCAGTGCTGCAAGGCAGAAGCACTAACCACAGGCCTGGTGCTGAGGATTTTGGTGGGCCTTTTTATAGAAATGACGATGGTCACCAGGGCCCTCTTCCCCTGCCCGAGCTGTGATTTGTAGTCTCTCTACAGCTTAGAGTCAGTGGTGGAGCGCCAGGGCCCTGTTGCAGCTGTGACCCTGGTAGATCTGCCACTGACTCTAAGCTGTAGAGGGACTACAAGTTTTAGCATACATTATACAGCAATGCAGAATACCGCCAACTATAGAGGACTACGAATCCCAGTAATACATTACACAGAAATGCATAATACCACCAGATATAGAGGACTACAAATTCCAGTAATACAATATACAGCAATGCAAAATAATTCTACTAACTATAGAAGACAACAAATCCCGGTAATGTATTACAGAGCAATGCAGAATACGACCAAATATAGAGGACTACAAAGCCCATCAGTACATTATAAAGCACTGCAGAATGGCACTGGCTATAGAGGACTACAAATCCCAGCAATACTTTATACAGCAATGCAGAACAATATGAAGCTACGTACTCTGTGTTGCTCCGGGTTTTTGGTCTGTCTGTAGGGTTTCAGGGGAGCTGTGTGGGGTTTCGGGGAGGTAGGCTGTTCAGGCTCTCATGAGGTTATTCAGGCTCTCAGGTGGCCAGTTCGGGCTTTCAGGTAAACAGTGTGGGCTCTCAGGTGGACAGTGCGGGCTCCAGAAGGTCAATGCACGCTCCAGGTGGTCAGTGTGGCCTCTCAGGTGGTCAGTGCAGGCTCCAAGTGGTCAGTGCAGGCTCCAGGTGGCCGGTGCCGCTTCTCAGATGGTCAGTGCGGGCTCCAGGTGGTCCATGAGGACTCCAGGTGGTCAATGTGGGCTCCCAGGTGGTCAGTGTGACCTCTCAGGTGGTCACTGCGGGCTTTCAGGTGGTCAGTGGGGGCTCCTAGTGGTCAGTGTGGGCTCTCAGGTGGTCAGTGTGGACTCCATGTGGTCAGTATGGGCTCTCAGGTGGTCAGTGCGGGCTCTAGGTGGTCAGTGCGGGCTCTAGGTTGTCAGTGAGGGCTCTAAGTGGTCAGTGCAGGCTCCAGGAGGTCATTGTGGGCTCCAGGTAGTCAGTGAGGGCTCTCAGGTGGTCAGTGCAGGCTTTCAGGTGGTCAGTGCGGGCTCCTAGTGGTCAGTGCGGACTCCTGGTGGTCAGTGCGAGCTTTCATGTGGTCAGTGCGGGCTTTCAGGTGGTCAGTGTGGGCTCCTAGTGGTCAGTGCGGACTCCAGGTAGTCAGTGCGGGCTTCAGGTGGTCAGTGCAGGCTCCAGGTGGTAAGTGCGTGCTCCAGGTGGTCAGTGTGGGCTCTCAGGTGGTCAGTGCGGGCTTGCAGGTGGTCAGTGCGGGCTCCTAGTGGTCAGTGCGGACTCCAGGTGGTCAGTGTGGGCACTCAGGTGGTCAGTGTGGGCACTCAGGTGGTCAGTGTGGGCTCTCAGGTGGTCAGTGCGGACTCCTGGTGGTCAGTGCGAGCTTTCAGGTGGTCTGTGCGGGCTTTCAGGTGGTCAGTGTGGGCTCCTAGTGGTCAGTGCGGACTCCAGGTGGTCAGTGTGGGCCCTCAGGTGGTCAGTGTGGGCCCTCAGGTGGTCAGTGTGGGCCCTCAGGTGGTCAGTGTGGGCCCTCAGGTGGTCAGTGTGGGCCCTCAGGTGGTCAGTGTGAGCTCTTAGGTGGTCAGTACAGGCTCCAGGTGGTCAGTGCAGACTCCAGGTGGTCAGTGTGGGCACTCAGGTGGTCAGTGTGAGCTCTTAGGTGGTCAGTACAGGCTCCAGGTGGTCAGTGTGGGCTTTCAGGTGGTCAGTGCGGGCTTCAAGTGGTCAGTGTGGACTCCAGGTGGTCAGTGTGGACTCCAGGTGATCAGTGCGGGCTCCAGGTGGTCAGTGCAGACTCCAGGTGGTCAGTGTGGGCTTTCAGGTGGTCAGTATGGGCTCTCGGTGGTCAGTGTTGGCTCCAGATGCTCAGTGTGGGCTCCAGGTGGTCAGTGTGGGCACTCAGGTGGTCAGTGCACACTCCCGATGGTCAGTGCGGGTTCCAGACTGTCAGTGTGGGCTCCCGGTGGTCAATATTGGCTCTCAGGTGATCAGTGCGGGCTCCGGGCGGTCAGTGCGGGCTCCAGACGGTCATTGCAGGCCCTAGGTAGTTGGTGTGGACTTTCACCAGGTGTATACAGAGTGAAACTGGTGGCTGCAGCCTCAGCAGATGCGGCTCTCTGCTCAGACGCCCACTCGCACCCTCTAATATGGCTGAATAGAGGGCCGCAGTTGCCTGGTTTGAGGCTGGCCCGGATTGCCATCGGACATACCGAGGCAATTCGGGTTGACCGGACCTATTTGCAGGGTCCCCTATTATAATCCGGCCCTTGAGTGGTGTTGGATTAGGTGGACTTTCTTCAAATAGCTGTAAACCCTAACTGTATACATTTATTTTTCTAAAGCTGTTGAGTTGTTTCTCACACACATGGCCAATGCTCCAATTCCGGTTGATCTTGGGCCACTACACAAGTCTACACAATCAGTGGGGTTAATTTACTAAAGGCGTAGAGCATGTCTACTAGATAGCAGTAGATATAGATAGCAGTAGTAGGTTTAGAACCCCTTTAAACACGTGCACGGATTATTAAAGTATTTTTGCTTGTATGATTGGATGATAGAAGCTGCACCTCATTTACTAAGCTAAGAAAAAAATATTTTTCAAAATAAAAATTCACTTTGCTAAGTGATCAGCCCCAGTGGATCTGCTTGAACATTTACCCTCCCCATCAGCAATGCCATGGTGTGGCATTGGCCACGGGACCTGTCTCTGGTAGGAGTCCGGATTTCTGGTTATCCAGCAAGAGGTGTTCAGCAGCTCTGCGTAAACATTAACCTTTTGCATTAGCAGATAACATCTGACTAATGGTTTGGCATTGGTCCTTTGACCTGTTTCTGGAGGCCTGATTTTGGTTATCCAATAAGAGGTAGGTTTTTAGCATCAATATTATACTATACAAATTGCTTTACACACTGATTTACTGATCAGTTCTACTTTTTTACTAGAGTTGCCCTTGAAGTCCACAGCCAGTCACCAACAAATATTTGGTCTCGGAAACAATCCTTGTTTGTAACTGAAACAATTTTGTTTTACAGATATAAAATGAAAATGCCTTATTTCGCCTGGGTATATTTGTTGTGGACATTGAGTGCAATAAGTCTCTTCCCTGTCTGTGCTGTAAATCGCTGCAAGATCCTTCAGGAAAAAGCTGACTGCAGTCACCTGGAACTGTATGACATACCGTCTGACCTCCCTGTTAACATTAAAGTTCTGGATCTGTCCCACAATCGCCTAAAGAAATTACCAGCAGCCAATCTCTCCAGATATGAGCAGCTTGAACATCTAGATGTTGGCTATAACACTCTCCATATTATTGAGCCAGAATTATGTGAACATCTGCCTTTGTTGAAAATATTCAATCTACAGCATAATGAGTTTACCAAGATTCCAGAGAAAACCTTCTTATCCTGCACAAACCTTATAGAACTATACCTGAATTCTAATGGAATCAGAGAAATAACTGCAAACCCTTTTAAAAGCCTGAAGGTACATTTTAATATCATACAAGTATACCTAAAGCCAACACTTTTCTTGCTAGCTTTGGCTAGAGTAGGGACAAGTTAGAACCCCTGACAGGTTTTTATTGTTTTTTGGGGAGGTTTTTTTCACCATTGGGAGATTTATCTATTAACGAGAAATCCAAAGTTCAGCAGTTGTCACTTGAAAAAGAAATCTTCCATTAGAAGTCTTGTTCGCTGACAATTGTCTGAGAAGGGATTTCCTCTCACTTTGGAGACATTTTCTTTTACTCCCACTTGTGTCTCTGAGGAGGGAAGTGATTAGATATTAACCAATTGGGCACAAACAAAAAAAGAAAACAAAAACTTAAAGGAGAACTATGAGGTGAGTGCTTTTCACTCACCTCATACTTCTAGCCGACCTGTGACAATGAGACTGTCACAGGTCGGCTCAGTAGATCGGGAAGTGAGCGAACACATACCGGGTTCGCTCACCTCTCGATCCTGTCACAGCTCTCTGCCATGACAGGGGAGGGGCTGGATTCCCTGCTCCGATCCTCCAGCGCTGACTGGCAGAACGGACGGGGGAGAGGGCGGGTACAGCTGGCTCTGCCTCTAGATAGGCAGAGCCAGCTGTCACTCACACAGCTGGGTGGCAAAGCTTCACTTTTTGAGTTTAGGCCCACTTAAAAAACATTCCACTAGAGGTACTTTAACATACTGTTCCTTATGCTTCAAAGGAACCTAATAACTTTCAAACTCAAGATACTCAATATGTAAGTATCGACTTTCATCTCCAGAGAGGAAGAGGTTGCACATCCCTTCCATCACATACACACACACATTCACACACAACTATTAAAAGGAGAATTATGAGGCGAGTGATTTTCACTCAGCCTCATAATCTGAGCCGACCTGTGACAATGAAACTGTCACAGGTTGGCTCAGTAGATCAGGAAGTGAGCGAACACACACCGGCGCTCGGCCACTTCTCGATCTATCCGTGCATAGAGCCGTGACTGTCACTCACAGCTCCCTGCAGGGATTGCCCCTCCCCTGTCCGATCCTCCAGCACTGACTAGCGGAACGGACGGGGAAGGGGCGGGCACAGCTGGCTCTGCCTCTAGATAGATAGATACTAATATAGATAGATAGTTACTAATTTGTAGTGAGATTGTAGTCCATCATGGGAGCGAGCTTGGAGGGGTGACTACTTTACAACACATACTGGGACCATGGGGAACAAAAGTAGCCACCCTCCAGAAGGAAGGACAGTGTCAGCATTAATTTAGAGATGATTTTAGGATCTGCAGCCGAGTGATGCACAGAGATGCGGACACATGAATGGGCCCTACTAAAAAAACTAATAATGGTTTAGACATACCTTAGAGTGTATTTCCACCTTTACAGTCAAATTTGAGAAACCCCCCGAATTTGTATGTTTGTTATGTGTTTCCATTCACGCAGCATACTGAAAAAAAAAATATTTATTATTTCTCACCTTTTAGATCAGGGGTAGCCAAACACTGGTCCTCCAGCTGTGGTGGAACTACAAATCCCATGAGGCATTGCAACATTCTCACAGCCACAGACATGACTCCCGGAGAGAGATGCATCATGGGATTTGTAGTTTCACTACAGCTGGAGGACCAGTGTTTGGCTACCCCTGTTTTAGATGTTTTGTTGCAGCAGGCAAAATGGCTGAATCCAAGGTTTTTCTGAACACCTTCACAGTGACCTGTCATTATAGAAAGACTTAGCACTGAAATGTATGGAATGTGTTTCTCTTATTAATATACAATGCAGAAGCCAGGGTTGTAATCCCTTAACCCTTTGTCAGGACAGGCAGTGTTCAAATCTACTTTACAAATTCTTATGAAACCAGCCAGCACAGTACAGACAGAATTTACATAAACCCCTCACAGCCCCTCCTAACAGGAGAAGCCAAATAGAAATGTTAGCAAGGAAAATGACATTTAAACTTCAAGAAGCAGTTTAAAAAAAAAAAAAAAGCTTCTCCTATGTAAATGGGAACATATAACAAATATAAAGTAGGTGATATCCCAATTTGACTGCAAAAGTGGAAATACACTTTAAGAACACTTAAATGCTCATAGAGTGACTAGCCTAATTGTATTTTTGTTTTTGTCTACAGAATTTGAAAATCCTTCATATGTGTTACAACAAGATGACATCTATGGCCCTAGGTGATACAGAACAGTTATCAGACCTTACGGAACTTCTGTTTTCTCATAACTTGATCAGTGAACTTAAGAAAGAAGCTTTGGTATTTCTTGGAAACAATTCTATACAGCAGCTAGATCTATCATCCAATCCTGTCAAAGTGGTGAGACATTGTTTATAATATGGGGGAAACCATCACACCTGCATCATTTATGTGCCTATGTATACTTAACTGTAAATAACATACTAAGTATTTTTATTTGGCCTTAAAGTGAAATTAAACCCTCAGATATTTTAACATAAAACAATACTGTAATGTGCGCCTTACTGTAATCCATGGTTGTTTCCCTTCTCTTTGCTGCTCTTCCTTTTAAATCCTTATCTCTTCTCATGCTTGGGGAGAACTTCCCTTTGCAGCTGACTGCCTCTTCTCTGGAATGTTACATGGTGTCTGTGTGCGCGCTCCTGACCTGAGCCAGGACTACAGGATGACGTCCTCCCGACATCCACATCTCCACCCACGTTAGATTGGCAACAGCTGCTGCCTGCGTCCTGGCTCAGGTCGGGAGTGCGCACACAGACACCATGTAACATTCCAGAGAAGAGGCAGTCAGCTGTGGCAGAGAGCCGTGACAGGATCGAGAGGCGAGCGAACCCGGTATGTGTTCGCTCACCTCCCGATCTACTGAGCCGACCTGTGACAGTCTCATTGTCACAGGTCGGCTAGAACTATGAGATGAGTGAAAAGCACTCACCTCATAGTTCTCCTTTAAGTGACACTTAACTCAGGAGTTGAATCTCAAAAATGCATTTATGTACCTTAACTATCAACAAAAATGTATCTTATTTGTGTATCACTCGGCTGTAGATCCTCAAATCATCTCTGAATTGGTGCAGACACTGCCCTTCCTTCTCGAGGGTGGCTACTTTTGTTCCCCATGGTCCCTGTGTGTGTTGTAAAGTAACCACCGCTCCAAGCTTGCTCCCATTATGGACTACAAACTCAATACAATTTAGTAAACTAAAAGTGAGATTGAAGGAACAAAAGTAGCCACCCTCCAAAAGGATGGCTACTTGGATGGCTATTTTTAAGGAGCTCTTTACTGGCCAAAATATGGAGACTGTTATTATTTTCCAAATCATTGACCAAGAAGGAAAATCAGAATAAAGTCAGAGCCTGTAATCTATATGCTTGTTCCCAAAAATATGAACCAAAAGCATGGTAGCCATTGGATGAGCATGACAGCAAGGGAGCTGGTACATTCAGAATTAGAGGTCAGCATTGGCATCCTCCTTATCTACAGCACAGGTGTCCTTGCATGACTATTGAAAGTAGACATCAATCACATAGGGAGTCCTGTGCTTTCTAGGAGTTGGCTGACGCATGGGATTCAAAGTAAAGCACCAACTTTGTGTAGCACTACAAAGCAAGAAACAGAGGTTGCATATTGCAAGTGTATCTAAATACAAAATATGCTGCAGCCTACTATTTCTTACATGTGGTAGCTGCATTATTTTTTTTTTTCAGGCTTTCTTTCTTTTATTTTAATTTAGTAATTATGCGAAAAACAAACTTGCCAATCAATGCATTCTGACTCCTCTGTATATTTGCCGGGAGCCATGGTTGTGACCCAGACTGGACTTAAAACATGTCTACCTCCCTTCATCTCCATTACATGGAAGGTGGGGAAATTAGTAGTTTACAGAGGGAAGATAACATTGTTTGTGCTTTTTTGTTAAGTGACAAGGTATTTTCTGCACTTGTTGAAAATGTTTTTAGCCTGAAAATAGAAAGGCAATGTCATCACCACGCTTAGGAACTGGAAGGCTGCAATATATTGTTCTCTGGTTTAGATATTCTTTAAAATAAAATAAAGTAGCTGTCTTCCAGGAAATATATCATTACAAATTATATAAGGAAATAAGGTCTTTAAAACGTTAACATACATTGACAACCATATTTTTTGCTCCATAAGACGCACTTCGGGGTCCCCCGATCCTCTGGAGGACCCGTAACCACGGGATAGGAGCTCACTATAGAGCCCCTAGAGCAGACGAAGATATACCGGTGCACCTTATGGAGCGCAAAATACGGTATATCATGTTTATCTAAAATACAGTATGTTGGGACAAATCACACCATTACAGTGTGTTAGCGCACATGCATTAATGT